TGAAAGAAGTTTGACCAATGGTTGCAGAGGACCAAAGTCATCATCCATAGTTAAGGCAAAAGCGGAAACTGCAGTCTTATCATGGCTCACAAAACTGTACAAAATCTGAACTCAGTCCCTCTCTGATCTGCTTCCTTTTTAGTGTCTCCCCCTCCCCCTGCTCCAGCCAAACTCACCTCCTTGATTATCTTTCACACACCTGGCACACAGCTGCTTTGGGCCTCTCCACTTGCTCCTTTCAGATATCCTTGAGGCTAGCTCCTTGTACTCCTTCAAATCTGGCTCAAATACCACCTCAATGCCACCATCCCATCCCCCAGCATTCCTGATCACCTTACCCAGATGTATTTTTTCCATAGTACTTACCAGCTTCTTAAATACTGTTTATTTTAATCATTATATTTATGTGTTCCTATCTATCCCAAACTCCTACACACACATTATAATGTAATCTCTACACGGATGGGGATTTTTGTCTTTTTTTTTTTTTCCACTGATGCCTTATCTGCGTCTGAAGAGTGTCTGGTATGAGTGTCTGGTAAATACTCAACAAATCCAGTTGTTGTTAAATAAACAAACGAAAGCAAGAAGATATTAACAGTGTTTGGCAAATTGGTTCTTTTTGCTGTGTAAGAGCAAGGCCTGGTCAGAAAGACGGACTGGGTCTGGAACTCCCAAGTGGTGAAGTATACAAAGTATACAAAGAATACAAAGCCACAGAAGCAAGCAGGGCCAAAGTTAGTGTAACAGAACTTGAAATCTTCGGTAGTTACCGCTAGAATAAGTCTAGGGTAACAGTCACTTGTCTACTGCTCCTTAAGTATTTTTCTCCTTTTGAATCCAGAACATCTCTAGTCAGTTTACTAGTCTAGTCACCCTGTCCTGCACAAACACTGCCTCCAGTTTAAAGACTCTTCATTCGCTGATCAGAATTCCTCGGTTTCCATTTCTCCTTGAAGTACGCCTTGAAGTACGTCTTCTCTGAAAGGATAGAGGACCCTGAGGGCAAATCTAAGTAACCCAGTAACTTGAAATTTAGCCCCACTCATTCTCACCAGAACTATCAACCCCAGGGACATCACTTTGATATTAGAAAGAAGATCTATATCATTTATATTCAGTTGACTGCATCAGGAGAAATTCTTAACCACTCTCTTTTATTCCCTCAGAATCATTCTGTGGTGTATCTGAAATGTCTACCTTTGCAATGGCTGCTTTTCTGCTGTGGATACATGCCTCTCACTCTTATTTGCTCACAAGTCACAGAGTACATTTGTGTTGTGACCTCTTCCCTGCATCGCTCAGACTGTTCATGACCCACATTCAATTGGTAATCAATATCACTTGAGTACTAAGTCTTTTTGACAACTGAATACAGTGAGGTACCCTCTATATGAAGATAACAAAGCGGAACAAAAACTAATGTTTATTTAGCTACAGCATGTCATACATACTTTACGGATATTACCTTATTTCAACTTTACAAGGAATTTTCACAAGAAATGGAGTATGTATTACTCCATCAATTAGATTATAAGCTCCTTGAATGAGTGACGATGCTTATCTTGCTCATCACTAGACCCACATCTAACAAGATGCCTCGCCCATAGCAGCTCCTCAATAGTTTTAAATAAGTGAATGAATAAAATTATATCATGAGAATTCCTCTTACCCATAATTCTGGTCCAAATCCCAATTCTATATCCTGTCTTATTAGCTGTATTTTACTCACAAGGGTGAGCCTCACAGAATGGTGACTATGATCTTTTTATATGTCAAGACAGTTTTTTAATGCAAACACAGTAATCATTAGAAACTCAGTTAATATAGAAGAACATCAGGCTGTCTCAGCTTGATTTAATTTGACTCTGACTTAGAATCTTTAGTAAGATACCCATTATTTAAAATATGGCATTGTCCTGCTTTTAGATAGTTCATTGAAGCAGTATAGGGTGAAATTCAAGATTTCATACAATATAGCATTTCATAAATCTATCATGTTATTAAAACATGAGCCTTCTTCAGGATACCTTCTGTCAACTTGTAGGTCATGGACGCAGCAAAGCAGTTTATAGATTTATTTTAATTCCCATCATTCCATTAGGTGTGAATTAGATAACAAATCTGCATCTGTTCTCAGCTTGAATCTTTTTGTAAGATGCTATTGACACACAGTTAAGAAACCAGGAATAGACTTCACTGTAAGTTAAGCGTGATGATTAATGGATGACCTTTCTTTATGGTTTCACTATTTTTAGCAATAATAAATATTTGTCCTGATAATTGGCTCATTCAGGGTACATAAGATTAGAAAAATAAATTTAGTTTCAATTCCAATATTTAGTTTATTAAACTTCTATCACTTATTAGCCTTAGAGATCTTTATAGTGAAATAATAATAAAAAAATAAGACCATTAAAGCATTATTTTGTAGCAAACATACCAGAGTTCTAGTCTCAAAAAATCCTATTAATAAAACTTTAAGGGCAGTTCGACTTACATAGAATTAATTCAACCAGGAAGGCAACAGTGAAGCCTGATATTAATCTTTTGAATTAATCCAGCAAAAAGTTATTTGCACACTAATTTTTAAAAAGTTATGAGTTGCTATTAAACAGAACCATCCAGAAAATTATTGCCAATATCAACAATTAGCAAAATAGAAAATTAAAGGGTACCCTCCTGTTTGATTTTTCTCCCTCAACATTTTCTTAACTCTTTTTATGAAATTTATCTTCCGGGTCAACTTTAGAATCAAGGTACATTAAAAAGTCAAATTTTACTGCAATTGTTACATTGAACTTATAGATTTGCTCAGGACTAATTGAAATATTTACAATATTTACAATATATTTGCAATATTGAATCATCCACACCAGAAACATGTTATATCTCTCTGTTTTTCAGTATTTTCTGTGTCTTTCAGTACAGATTTTTTTTTGAAAACATGTACCTTTATCATTTTTGTTAAGTTTATTCCTAGGTATCTTAAAGTTTTTCATGCTATGGTAAATGGATTCTTTCCACAAATACATAGGGATACAAGAAATCAAAGCAAATTAGATTTCAAATCTAATGTTACTGGACCTGATTATCAATGTGACTCATCAGGTCAAGTCACAATCCAGGAGTGGTCTTTTTAAGCTTGCCTTTTTAACTACATTAGAAGATGGTGATTCCAAGAAAATATTCCAGGACTTCCTGATCAGAAACATGTGTGCAATCTAATAATGTTTACATCACACTTGAAACAGCGGTCTTAAGACAGAAAAATGAGAAATAAACTGAGAGAACTTCACAGAACATCCAGTTACACAGAGCTCACTGCAATGTACTATCTCTTTCAGAGCCAAGGGAAGAGGAGAGAAGGGAAGCTTTATTCCAGCAACAGCTGCCAAAAATTTTTATGAGGCACATGCAGAGATAGTGGCTTTGAAATTTCAATTTTACTCACCTCCCCAAATCCTGTGCTAAACACCTGGTGACTGGTGAGTTTATCATCGCAAATGACAAACTGCAGTTGTAATCTCAAAAGGATTACTAAAGAGAAATAGGAGTCTTTTTATTAAAAATAAGGTTTATGGACTGGGAACAGAATTGTGCTTATCATAAAAACTCCTATTTGCTGAGCTTTTGTAGAAACAGAGTCATTTGCTAGACATTTATTCTCCATAGGCCCTATGTCTCCTTTTTCTTTTTTATTTAGCTTTACAAGGCACATCTCCCACCTATTGAGTTCACTAAAAAGCCCAGTCATTTCCAACTCTTGTGAGATGAAGCAGGCACTTCGCAGAGCTCCAAGAATAGTTTGTCCTATTTAAGAAACACCAGATGGAACAGCTAATGCTGTGCCTTGCCTCATCTGTCCTGTCAACATGGCACAACTTTTACTTTCTATCAAAACCAGGAAAGCCTTTACCTTCATACAAAGAGAAAGGGAAGAAGTATCTTTGATCTTTATCCTCTAACACAGTGGCACAATGCCATGAGCCCCTAACCCACGATCAGTTTTTAAACAGCCATAGAGGAGGGATGGGTGAAAAAGATCAAAGGGGATAAAGAGGTACAGATTTCCAGTGATAAAATAACTAAGTCATGGAGATAAAAAGCACAATATCGGGAATACAGTCAGTAATACTGTAATACTGCTGTATGTTGATGGATGGTATCTACACTTATCATCGTGAGCACTGAGTAATGTACACAATTGTTGAATCAGTATTTTGCGCACATGAAACTAACATTGTATGTTAATTATATCCCCCAAATAAATAATCAAGTAAATCAGCCATAGAATCAGGATTGGTAATTATTAAATAAAATTTTGAGCAGGGGTTTGCATAATGGTGTTCGGTCGGTATTGAGATTTCAGTGCTAAATTACCAACATAAATCTAAAAGAAGGAAAAGGTGAAATATAGCAAATCTGTTAGAAGAATCAAACACTGAGGTTTCTGATGGCAATAACCATGTTGGGGGGATACAAAAAAATCTAACCCTTTCATCATTCTCCCCAAAATACTATTCTCCCTTCCCCCGAATACATCAATCATATACCTTTATTTAACTTCTACCAGTTTTTAAGGAAGACATAATCAAAGTTTACCTTTTCTAGGGACATATGTGCTGAGGGAGGATGTGTTTAAAATATATAAATAAAATAAAATATATAAATAACCATATTAGAGAGAAACCTGGAATAGAAAGTATCTCAGATCAAAAGTCAACTTCTATGTATTGCCTATCTGGATACCTTTACATGACACACGGAATTAATAGAAGAAGTTGCTACAAAATGATGGTATTCCTTAAGATTTTCCAACAGTGCCCTAATATTACATCTGAGCTTAATATTGTGCATGGTCATTTCCACGTCTGCTAACATTGCTACATCCCACTTATAATGTTACCCCAGAGAGAACTTGTTCCCTTGCACAATCAGCATTTTAAAATCAAGTGGACAGTTATCATATTACAAAGAAATCAGAGGTTATTCCTTACCAGGAAAATTTTGGACAGTTTCTTCTTACAGGTTTCAAAATACCTGAAAAAAAAAAAAAGGGCAAAATGCTAGATATCAAAGTTCAGTAATAGCTCTCTTCCAGGAAACAGAGTTGACCTCATATTCCCCATCTGTAGGAAGGAGTAAGTTAAACCCACTCCACTCAGGATGCAACAGCTGACCAATCTCTTATATGTACCTATTAGTGGAACCAATCTGTCATAAATTTCCTCTCTATTAAGTCAATCTCCTGAAATCAAAAATGAAAAGTGAAATAGGCCAAGGAATATACAGTACTTCAGACTTTTCTTTAAAGTTATTTGAGAGGGAAGAGAACTAGTTTAATTCACAGTTTGATCCTTGTTTGTAGATATGTTGATTAGAGTAAAGTTGACAAGAGATCATGAGCCATATGAGAACTAGAACTATCCAATGGATTCTTCATAAATTAGATGAGCAGGCCCCGAATTTGATTATAGCCCCAAAGGCATAATTTTCAAGCAAAACCTGCCAATCTAAATTTTTTTGTGTTATTCTCTTATTCTAGATAACACTTCTAGAGATAATATTATGTTCAGTTTGATTATTTTATTATCTACTAATTCTTCACGAGTAAGAATGATACATAAAGGCAAAATACAAGTGGTAAAATTTTATATTATTTAGAACAGAATATGCTATGCTATGGTAACAAATACACCCTGAAATGTAAGTGGTTTGACAGAGCAAAGGCTTATTTGTCACCCACATCACAGACGAATGTGGGTTGGAAGGATTTCCTTGGTACCTTTCATAAATCATGACTTTGAGTTCTTACACCTTGAGACAATGACATCTTCAAAACACACAAACTTTGCATTCCCAATGGACGAGGAAAAGAGAACCAGGATAAGGAACATAAACCCTTAATTGCTTCACCCTGGAAGTCACACAAGTGCCTTCTGCTCCCAATTCATTGGCCAGAATTCTGTCTCCTTGCAGGGAGGCTGAGAAATGCAAGTCCACAAATCACAGTCTCTGCCACAAGAGCTCTGCAGCCAAGCATAAGAGACTGACTCCTATGGTACCTTGGGCAAGTTACCTAACCTCTGTTCATCTTAGTTTCACCAACTGTAAAATGGAACTAGCAAAACAGCTGGCAGGATGGTCATGATGATTAAATCAGCATCTGGATAATTATCTAATTTAATGCTCAAAATATATGGTGGCCATTGTTACCACTGTTTAAATGGTTTAAGGTTTCTATAATGGCCCTAAGTCTAAAACAGATTTCAAGTTGGGCACCCTAAGATCATAAGACTCTTTTGGCCTTTAAAATCATCCTTATGTGGATCTGAGCTTGTGCACTTTGAAATGCACTGCACCAGATCAAACTGCACACATGAACATCCACCTTTAGTTTACCACAGTTCTGGCTTCTTGGCTTTCTAATGAATGTCTCAGTTGCAACATTCCTAAGGCTTTTAACCTGACTGTTATCCTCTGAAGTTCAGGTATTTACTTTTTTATTTCCTTGTTGGTGTCCTTCCTCCTCTCTCTCTCTCTCTCAGCCTCTCCCTCTCTCCCCCACCCCTCTCCCTAGCTTCACAGGTAACATTCTGTTGATCAAATGTGTTCTTATTTCTGAAGGTTTACTATGTTTTCAGAAACTAGGTTGAAAAAAATTCAGAATCCCCGAATGCCTTAATAAGCAATGGAACCTAAGCGACAGCATTTTTATTCCTTTCCTAACTTTGCCTTCCCTCATTAAAGAGCTCAGTTTAACACAGGTAAATGAATATACCTTCAACATGAAGCACTTCATGAATATAACTTCAACATGAAGTTGGGTCCAAATGCAGAAAAGACAGATCCCTCTTCCATCTTCAACTCCCTGTTTCAAAACAACTACATAAAAGTCTTACCAGAAAGAGTGGATGAGAGCTCTGGTGTTGCTTTTTCTCATTATGCCTTTAAGATTTGATTCACACTACAAAGATCTGTCAACACAATCATTCCGGTGGCAAGAGAGACAGCAGCTGCTGCCTAACTAGGAAACCAATATTATTCCTGGAGTGTGTGTCGTCCCGCAGGGTTTGGATTAACTCAAGATGGATACTTTCTCTCCAGTGCTTTGTTACAAATCACTTCTGGTAGTACCAGAGGTACCGCAAAGAAGCATTCAACACCCGCAAAGGAGTTATTTAAAATGAAATATGAAGCGTTCTGACTGCTTCTGGATTATCTTTGCTATGTTTCTTAATGAATTTTTTAAAAGGAAGTAGCAGCTTTTCTTCTATTAGAGTTCCTGAAAATGTGCTTGTGCATATATCAGCTTCGGTCAAGGAAATACTTGAAATGTTGTCTTAGAAAATAGAAACCTGTCCGCTAGTCTTAGTTCTCCTTATACATTTGGTTAGTATTGGTTTTGCCATAAGTCAGACAACTCTGATGCAAGCACGTTTGACTTCCACAGCGCTTCCCCCACTGGGGGTTCTCCAGTACTTGGAAGGGCACTGAGCTCCCAGCCACTGCTGTTGTAATGCCCATCCTCCCTTTCACCAGCCCAGGCCCAACCAGGAAGAGAGTTCAAAATATTCTACAAACCACCTGAAGCATGTCTAGTGCTCTAGGGCAAATGAACCATCAAAGATGACTCAAAGACCTAATTTTCAGCCAAGCACGGAAAAGAAATTATACCTACATTTTTCTATAGACCCATGGTCTTTAGCTCCTCCAATTCCTGAAATCATCTGTACCTTAAATCATGGCGTATATAAGGGGACTCTGCTGGGTCATTATAGACATCTCTAAGAATTGCTCCTAGTTATCATAAATGACTTCAAAATTTCCAGAGAAAGTGAGAACAAAAACCTCTTGTGGTTCCTCAACTCCCTGTGAAGGGAGTGTGAAGTCACAAATCCCCAGAAATGACTGACTCTCCTGCATTCCTCCTTAGATCCTCTTTATATGCATCTGAACAAAAAGAAAGGGACAAGATAAAGCAGGTATCCTTTAACTTTGCTACGTTAGTTGCTAAGAAAATGCCTTGACAATGAGTATAAGTCCAGAGCAGATTTTATAATGTCAGCTGCTGCTGGCTCCCCTGAGCATGGAAAGTTCAACATCATTTCAGGCCACATTCTATGTGGCCTCGTCATTCACCCATAAATAGGTCTCCATCAGGATCAGATCCTGGAACCCAAGATAATAAGCATGGCAAGAAGGAGCTATTCCCATCATGTACTAAATATCTTTTATAACCCAGAAGGGCAAGGGGTCTATTTAGCTGCACATCCTGGACAACTCCTATCTCCCTCCTCCCTGAATCTTAGCCCCTCATCTACAAAATAAGATTTTCCTGACCTATTCTTCAGAATACTCAGGCATGAAGTAATAGTTTCATCTAATATGTTCTGCTATCTCATGTCAGGGATAAAGTGAAAATAATAAGGACTAAAAGAAGAGTGTGTTATGTTCATTGTAGATCTAAAATGGAGACAATTATTGGACAAAGTACACAAGAAAAACTGAGTTACAACAAATGCCAAGGATGGACCATAGCGTGAAATGTGACTTAAGGAAAACCATAGAAACTAGCATGCTTAAATACACCTCCTCCATCAAGTTGTCCCTGGTACCCCAGTTGAGACCTTGAAGTAGACTCTTTCAATTTGCTACAACAATTATTTTGTCCCCAATTAAAGTAGCCCCACACAACTCATAGTTGAGCTATGAATTTACTATATTGCTTCCAAGATCTAGTAAGGGTAATAGCTAGTATCAGTTCAGGACTTATATGCTAAGTGATGTTCTTTTTTTTTTTTTTAATATTTTTATTTATTTCTAGGAGAGAGAGAGAGAGAGAGACAGCGTGAACAGGGGAGGGTCAGAGAGAGAGGGAGTCACAGACTGAAACAGGCTCCAGGCTCTGAGCTGGCAGTCAGCACAGAGCCCGACGCGGGGCTCGAACCCACAAACCGCGAGATGATGACCTAAGCGAAAGTCGGACGCTTAACCGACTAAGCCACCCAGGCGCCCCTGCTAAGTGATGTTCTTAATGATCTACATTTATTTACTTATTTAATCTCCATCCAGAGATTGATGAAGTAGCACCATTCATAATTGCATTTTCCAGATAAAATGAAGGCACAGAAAACTTCGGTAATTTGCTCCAGGATGCAGGAATAGTATGTGGTGGAGCTGTGATTTGAGTAGTCAGACTGACTCCAGAACTTAACTACCTTGCTGCTGTACTTCCCATTGCTTACAAGTGCTGCTAAATTTTGTTCAGATGACCTTAGAGGAGACCTTTTCTTAGGCCAATAGCCTCCAGCGAAAACTGGAATACCATTTCCCAAGCGGTATTTCAGAATTCTGTTCTCTAGGACATCAATAAACATTCTGTGAAAAGGGATCTCGGTAGAAATAAGTTTGGGAATGTTAAGTACTATATTCTCTTGCAGTTACAATTCACAGGAGCATTTCAAAAACAATGAGAAGTTCTATAGTAAAGAAATTTGCTTAAATTTGTTTAACTCAGTATGTGTCAAGGGTACTTGACAATAGGACTCATTGTTTTTAACCCTGCATCAATTGACATTTTAGCGAACAGTGTTTATGAAACATTGTCTTGGGAAAAGCTAGTCTAGTGCCATGAAAACATATTTAAGCTCATCTAGACATGGTTTATGGGAGATGTGAACCCTGATGGCTGAATGGAAACAAAACCCTGCCCCTTCCCAGGTGACTTTAGAGGAGCACAGAGAGTAGGATGCATGGTCTTATGGTAGTGGTTCTCAACTGGGGAAATTTTGACCCTAAGGGACATTGGCAATGTCTTGAGACTTTGTCACAACTAAAGGTTGGTACTGGTATCTAGTAGGTAGCAACTAGGGATGCTGGTAATCAGACAATGCACAAGACAGCTTCCCACAACAAAGAAGAATAGGGTGTAAAATGTCAATAGTGCCACTATTGAGAAGGTCTGCCTTATAGGATATGACCCCCATCTATTGTCGACCTATACTTAGGGAGGGGATCAGTCCACTGGATTATGTAAA